ACCTCCGTACCACTATATTTTTTTTTGGATTCTGGTAAAGCTTTTTGTCTGAACATTTTGACAGTCAAATGTGAAATGATCAATTTTGGTTCACTAGGTTATTAACTATGGCAGTGGCGTATCTAGAATTTTTTTCTAGTGGGTGATATGACCAAAACTATTTATCACATTAGGGCCAGGCCGCCAGGGGGGCAAATATCTAGGATATCTATATGTTATCTAACCTTTCCGTAAAGTTCACTATAGGGCTAGTCATGGTTAGGTTAGTGTCAGACCATGTCGCCATGATGTTACTATTAAAACTATAGATATCAACATTTATATTATTATACATTTGTTTTCATAAAAATTCACAAAATAATATTTATTCGTCTTGGTTTTCGATACATTCCATCCAACACTTCGTCTACATTTATGTCAATCGGTTTTTTTTTACTCATTGGGGCCGGTCAAAACCTTTGCCCCCCTCTATTGAAAACTGAAATGACGCCACTGATGTTGACATCTTCTGTTTGCGGTTCGATAAATTTTAAACTGAACAAAATAAGAATGATGAGATTGAGGATCCATTTTTATAATCTAATAAATAATAATATCTCTGCCATAATATTATGCAACGAGAGCCAACACTAAGTATGCAGCGTATATCCTACAGTACTTGTATTTTTTTTTTTTTATTATTTCAACACCATTTAATATTCTATTGAGGTAGTTTCTAAGTAATACATGTTTTGTTATTGTTGTAATAAAATAAAATAAAATGGTATCAAAACATAAAATAAGTGATTCATACTTTCCTTCTGGCCATGTATCAATCATCAATATAATAATAATATTGTGAGCATAATTTAACAAGGTCTGATTTGTGAATAATTTAAAAAAAAATCACGATACTGTTTTACAAGTTACAACTATATTATAACATTACATTTTTATAATTATATACTTATGTCATAATATTACATTATACAGTATGTCTAAAAAGTAAAAAGTCTAAGACCAATTTAAAGTGGTGATCACATACTGTAACAATATGGGATTTTTGAAGGTCTAGTGTAATATTAATTCTTAGAATTTCTACATGGGTATTATAATATAATATATAATTATTGCATGCGCATGTTGTCATAATGTCATGAAAATCCCCCAAAACATTTTATGGTTTTCAAACTAGGTATCTATACATACTGTATGGTTTAATTGACGAATACATAATAATGATTAATTATTTTTCAAAGAACTAATTTGGAATCTCTATAGTTGCAAAATATTGCACTGTGTAGACTGTAATTTGATCAGTGATCTTATGATATTAAATCAGGTTTTAGTAAACATAAAATAGTTGTCGAAGTACAAATCAATTAAGCCATTTATATTCATTATTAAAATACTCTTACTGTTATTCCGTTAAAAAATATATTAATACGAAGTTCACTTGGTACCTACCTGTTCCCTACATCAGATACTCACTTTGCTCACTTCTACTAATGACAGCGGTGTTTTATAAAAGCGACTTTTACCGCGTTTGGAAGACAAATCCGAGTGCAGCTAGGTACATCCAAAAAAACAATCTCAAGGTTTTTGAAACCATGAACCCCCACTTGGGCACCAATCACTAGATTGTACAATCGCCAATACGACACTATAGGTAGCAAAATTGTATTATACTTACCTACGCCATTATAATAATTATTATAATATTATATTCATAGTATAATTGCACAGTGGCGACTAGCTTCTGCAACGTGGGTACAGTCGTCGCGGGTGTAAGCTTGCACTCATATATTATAATAAAGTTGAGTTGTTTGCCCGCTTTAAACATAAAACAAAAAAAATACCAAAACTCGTTATCCGCTGCCGGGCGAACGGATCTACAAAGGATTTTATATACTCCTATTATAGGATCGGATCACGATTATTGGGCGCGTACAGCGTACACCAAGTGGCCGAGTGGGTAGGTAGGTAGGTAACTAATAACTATGTATTATATCATATTATACTATGCATAACTACCTATTATAATAGTTCTATATTACTATATTATTTATAGTATTGGCGATTCAGTCGCTACCTATCACGTCAGTGTAATATTATTGTCTCTATATTAGGCATTACCATTAACAGTCTTCGGGAATGCGTTATAATGTTTATGGAAATCCTTTGACATTCGAGTATTGTAATAAGTAGTCTAATAAGTTATGACTAATATGTAAATGTCGTATTATTATTGGACCTATATACTATAGTCTGCTATACGCCTAGACCTATACAGTCATACCGACGAGAGACGGCAACGACATTTTATAGGTACCTACCTATAATCTATATATACCTAAGTGGTCATATAGTGTAAAGGATTAAAATCAAATTCACCACAAATACATATATTATAATAAAAAAAAATATTATTTCGTATTTCATAAACTGGGTATCCACTTATTATAATTCTACGGAGATAAAAAAAAATCCGAAACGCTATATTATTGTCGGTGTTTACGTTTATTTGTTCTGTCCGAAAGTTTCGTTTCAATAATTCTCCATTGTCGTACGTTGTAGTGTTGTACGTACCTTAGTATATAGTTGGTACCTATATGGCTATATGTCCTATATACAAATAAATAGTAAATACTAATACATAGAAAAAAGCAACAAGCGCGTATAGACGCACTCTCTTTGTTAACTCTGCACAATACGGACCCGTGATGAAATGTACTATCGCACGTGACGCCGAAAAGAAGCGGTAAAAATATATAGTTATAAATACAATTTGTTTTACAAAACGTTCAAACGTATACTTCGAAAAATACAACAATATAATGTGCTTCATCATTCGTACACATTCGTAAATATTATATTCCAGCAAGTTCATTATTATAATACATTCAAGTGAGATTTTATTATATAATTCTTCAACTCATGTAGGTTTTAAACATTGTTCGTCACAATAACAATGATAAACATGTGATAAAATATTCATATTTGAACAATTAATACGACATACGCCATACTCAAATATTGCACTGTATGGTTATTGTAGATGGAATATCGTTTAAGTTCTCATCTAGGTACATCGAGGCGATTTGTGATTAAAACAAAAACGGTTTCGTTGTTTTGTATATTGTAATTTGTAACACATATATTATTTGAACACTGTATTATAATTTATAGTTACTATATAAATAAGTAGGTACTTATAAATTAACTAATAAATCTTATAAGCACATATTAAGTACCATCCGTACCATAATATTATAAATTATAATAATTAACTATATTAAGTATAGATTAGCCGATTTATAGCTTCATCCTATGCTTAGTAGGCTGTAGGCATCTATACATATAATATTGTATTGCAAAATTAAGGACAGCAGTGGATCTAGGATGTTTTTATGGTTGGCATTAAGTTGATAATAAAGATTCTTAGGTAATTATCATGAACAACTTAACTTAACTTTGGGGTAAAAACAAATTTAATCTGTTTTTTGGTAGTAAACTATAATGAATAGGTAAGTTTAGTTTTACGTGGGATACGTGATATTTAAGTATTTTATAATAAAAAAAAAAGTTCAATATGCGGAACGGTGGGTGCTTTAGATCCCAAGCCCCTCCCCAAAATTCACCACTGATTAAGGTATGTATAGGGTTTAAACCTGTATAAAAATCGATTGTAACGATTGCGAAACTGCGACAACAACTATGACATATCTAATATCTATTACCTATATGTTTCGAATACATAGCCAGATATAGGCAGTGTTCGGACTTATCTAGATAATTATTTGTTCATCTTTTATCTTATCTAGATAAATAGTTACAAAGTATCTAAACGTTCATCATAGATAACTTTTTTACTAATCTAAATAAATTCATCTAGACACATTTTTTATTGATAAAAATCGCGAAATTGTACAACATTTTTAAATATTTATACAGATTCTCAAACAAAGTTTATGGTTTATAATTAATAATGTAATTATTTTTATTTATATTATTATTATTATTATGTACCTATAGTGCCCAACTAAAATATACCAAAATTTAAAACCATTTAAAAAATAATTGTATCTTTTTTTTTATCTAGATAAATATGAGTTAAGTTATCTTTTATATCTATCTAGATACATTTGAGTTGCATTATCTTTATCTCTAGATAAAAAAATACTTATCTAATCCGAACACTGGATATAGGGTTCGTCCGAAATCGGATGAAAAAAAACCGCAAGAACAATAATATAATAGACACGTTTTACACACCACAAGTATAGGTACTACAACATAATATTATCATAGTAGTAGTGTAAATGAGTGCACAGAGTATACGGCAGATAATCGACAGATTTGTGGACCGGGCGGAGGTATAGTAGTATAGTACCTACGTGTGTATAATATTATGACGCTTATAATAATAAAATATATAAACGATCGATCGAGAGATTGTGCGACGGAGGTTCGTGCCGAATCCTATGGATAATAATTTTGGTCTGCGGATTTTCGGCCACAAACGGATTCCCACCACAGTGATAATAATAATAATAACAACAGTCGCTTCGTTTAGCGGCGCACCTGATAAATGTGGGCGGGTACCACGCGGCGGCTCTCGGCCCGCGAGTATCCGACGAAAATCATTCCTTCGCCGTTCGATCGCCGGCGAAGAGCCATACCGTGTAAATATTGTCTGACAGTAATAATAATAATTATACATCGCTACGTGTGCCAATATAACATATTGTTATCCCGTCATGGACGTTTCTATCGGGACCGACGACCGCGGTTCAAAACCTCAGCTTGAGCGTTCATAATAAATACAATAATAATATTATTATCTTACTGTACCATGAGAGATATCGTTTTTTTTTGTTTTGAAGAATTTTTTAACTTGTTCGTTTGACGACTGCTCGTCGTACCTGTAAGAAATCCCGTCATATACGATACTACTGGACAGGCACAAGTATTGAGACTGCGGCGCAACCGGCGGAAACGCGTGGTGTGTAATATGATAAATGGAGAACGGATCTCATTCTACTTTCAAACTAAATATAATCTCACGTGAGTATAGTAATAATAATAAAGTTTATAATATTACCTGCCTATCTATACTTAATTTGACTATGACAAATTCACAATACACCTGAAGCTTATTTTTATTGCTTAGAAACTAAAAAAAAAATAACGTGTTTGCCTTCAAAAATAAAAACAATCTTCTCAAAACCCTCCATAAAACAAACGATTTAATTTAAATTTATTTCTTTCTATATCGAAACACGCATGATTGCTCGAATACAATAAACAATATCGTTTTTAATATTATTAAATACGTATCGCTGTGCTATAGAGTTTTGTTTATATTACTTCAAGTGTGTACCTACTACAATACTATGCATAATATATATTATGTCTATGTATATAAAAACGAATCCTATTTCCCTTGTATACATATATTTATGTATTTATTATTTACATAATATACATACAATAAAATATGCTCCTATGCTCGTCATTCGTCAAATACATAAACCAAAAACGTTATGTTTAAAATAATACATACAAATTACATGTAGATACTGAGATACATGGTTTTTATTATACCTAATACTTAAGTTATATGCTTAAACAATATGAAAACTATAAGAAATGTTAAGATATATGTATTGTCATTAAAATAAGTAGGTAAATGACTGAGTAAATCAACTATTCTTATGTTGATATTAAACTAGTTTAACATGCTTAATAGTTAATTCATCGGATAAATATTTATCAAGTATAATATTTTCAATTTTATACAATATAGAAATCTGTTAAATTGAAATTTGAGGGACCACACAATGTATTGTTTTATTGTAACCGAAATTTAAATAGGTATTTCATACAAACATAATTTAACATTTCTGTACTTATTATATAATATTATAGGTATAGTAAACTATAGTGTTACGGTATACACGTTGACATTAACAATAAAATTAAAATATGGTTTACATACATTAATATTTACAGTTGAAAATGTATTTTTACGAAATGGGTACTTTAATTATTCTAATTCTTGCATAATATTAGATATATTATTATTTGTCATTACTATTATTATTTGTCATTACTATTATCATTGTGTTATTATTACCGTGTATACACACAAAATATTGTTAAGGACTTAAGTCCGTTTATATTTAAAATAAATAAATAAATAAATAAATAAATATTACCATTATTACTATTATTATCAACTGTAGCCTGTAGGTAACTGACTTGGCAAAATGCATTGCCTCGTATATTAATGTTTAACATATAAATTATAAAGCGTGTTAAAAAATTCTTCATTTATCAATGTATCCGATTTTTCATTAGAACCATATTTACAGTAGACAAATATACGTAAATCATGGGAGTTTTTCTGGGAACATTAACCGATATTTCATTTTAACCAGAGTCAAGGTGATAGTGATTTCAACTGTATTTGTTATTTATTAATGTAAGCGTTTCAAATTGGTGTCTTATAACTTATTACATCGATTATTCTAAGCAGTCAAACATTAAATTATTTTATTTTTGTATCTGTTTGTATAATATATGATGTTTATAGCTGCGGTAATTAAATAATGTGTACTTATATAATAAAATGTCACATTTTAAATTATTCAAGTTTATAAGTTCAAACTTAAAAACATACATCTATCGTAAATGTTAGCGCTATGATATATTTTAATAACGACATCATAGGATCATAGCTATTATCCGCAATCGTTGTGGTGTTGTACAATAATGACCTATACGTTTATTATATGCCATACTAATGTAATAACTACGCCTATACAGTTTATATTATATACACACACAACATACGTAGGTAATCTAATTTATAAAACCTCGTCGTAGGTGTAAGTATAATTATTATACCACAGTGATTTATACATGCATATGTTATTATACTAACATAAACTCGCGGATAATAATTTAATATGATATATTATATTTAATATTTATATTATTTTCAAATTTCAACACTATGTTATAATAATACACAGATGATCTATGGCGTGCAACAGTCGCGTTTTAATAGTTTTTCAATATACTGATAACCGGTAAAGAGTTAATTTGAATCGTAATTTCACGGCATTCGCGTATATTATATTATATACTATATAGATTATAGGTATGTAATATATTATGTCGTACAGAAGATAATTATTAAAAACGCGGGGTAGCTGACAACGTAGGTATATTATGACGGCGGTGGCGGGAAAACATTACAACTATAATGATATTTTAGGTGCGTTTACACCAATAAAACTTGTTAAATATTCACATCTGAGGTCAAGTCGAAGGCCGTGCGTTTTGACTGTTTTGAGGCAATACGCGTATATAGTTTCAAGTCAGTGTGTAATGTGTATATATAATAAATAATAATCTACCTATATACAGACACTGCGGAGTTCCGTTGGTAATAAAGACCCCATCATAGGCACGTATACGGTATAATATAGGAAGGTACCTAACTATTATAATATCGGGCCGGGTCGTGTGTTTACGGGCTGTTCGTGATCTGCCGGCCGACACGCAACTTACCAAGGGCTGGCGGGCACCAACCCTAATTATCATTAGTGTGTTATATTTATTTATTTATTTTTTAGTGAAACGTAGTAGAAAACAATCGGCGGCATTTGTTTTACCGGAGAATGCGCGTACCTATACAGTCGGAATTCAAATAATCCGGCTTCGGCTTATTACATGTAGAGTCGTAGATGCGTATATACTTTCTATTATTCGCGCGCGACTATTATAATTTATAAATAATACCTATATGGTTATATATATAATATATTAAATACCTATATGTTCCGATTTAGCTATATTATATATTTATAATAATACAATAATTCTATTATGCACTTAAACCTACGAAGAAACCGAGCGTGCGGTGCGTAAGAAAAGAAGTTGAATATGAAAATTTTAACCGTAGGTACCTACATAATATTTTATGATCAGTAAGTTTGAACGAATGGACGCGTCATTTAGCGTCGAAGCACCAACGACAGATAAACTTAGACGTTATATCTGCTGTTGTAGAAGTAGGTATGAACGTAATTTGTAAGCAATTATGGCTGGACTATATTATCAAGTCTCCAAAAATGTCCACTGTTAAAATGCCCGAAATCAAGAATGTTCACGTTGAGTAGGTGAATTGTTCAAACATAAAAATGTCCTTGGTAAATTATTAAAATTGCTCAATATCAAAAATGTACAAAATCAAAATAATAAGAGTATCAAAATGGAATAAAAGAGAAAATTAGGTAGTTTATTAATTTTTATTAATTAATCAAATTAGGTCAAAGAGAAATTAGACAACATCCGCCAAAAAAAAATAAAAAACTTATGTATGTTGATTTGCAAGAAAAGATAAATGTGTAGAGTGTAAAAATAATGGAAGGAGTATGGGCATTTTTTAAAATGTTTATCATTGACCTTAATACATTTTAAGGAAGTAATATGTGTTTATGTGCTTATTATGTGATTTTTTGATTTTTTTGAAAACCAAAAAATGTATTTTAAATTTTATAATAAAGTAGGTAGTAGGTAAAGACTATTTGTAATAATATTAATAGCCATACGAATGAATGAATGAATGAATAATATTAATCATCTGACTTTTTAAAAATAAAATATATATTTATTAATTGTTTATATCTTAAAATATAAATCAGTGTTGTAAATATATTTTTAGTTAATAATCAATTTCACCTGTGTATTTATCCTATTTTTGATTCTAAACAACTTTGCCAAAGACACTTTAATTTGGACAATTTTTGGTTTTTGACAATTTTACCTCGGAAATAGATATTTTCCATGCATATTTTTACCTAGATTGCTCACGTGTCTGTTACAAAACATAAGTAAGTACCTAAGAATTAATACATTTTTGCTGAATTGATTTTTTTTACTGTCAACTTTGAACTTTTATATTTAAATTATATTTGTCGGGTACAGGCACTACATGAATGCTATCCCAATATGTCAGTCTCGCTATGTATTGCAACCTAAATCAAAATTACTTATTGTACTTCATTTGTGTATAGATTGTAAATATATATTTTAATAAAAAAAAAAAAATTAATAAATTAAAATAAAAGTTAAATACCCAAAAAGCTGAATTTTAGATACTTCGGCGCAGGATAATGGTATTTTTATTATAGCGTATTACGAAACACTGAAACAGATATAAATAAGCACATTCGAAAACAGTTCAGGCTCGAATGTCGTTTTCAATAATATGTTTTAGGTATAGGTACTTATTACTTAGGTACCTACCTAATATATCATATCTGCGTATGTATAGTTGTAACTTGTGAGTAAACATATAATAAATTAGATAATATTTTCAAAATTGTTTGTACAAATATTATATGCATATTGCATATGTTAAGAGCATCTATAATAATAATAGTAATAATAATTATTCATCAATCATCTTATTAAAATAAATATATATTATACTATGTACACAATTTAAAAAAAATATTAATATAATGTATAAGTAGTTTTTATTACGAAAAGTTTAAGAATTAAAAATGCAAAGTATATAGGTTAAGTTAGCATTAAATTTCAAAACTAATAAATAATAATTATCTACAAGTAATTTTTGAATTTCTTTTATTCAATTTTAATATGTTTTAAGCTTTTTGTTACTAATCATTATAATATAGTACCATATATAAATATAAATAATATAATTAACCAGAACAAGAAGGAGAAGCGAATGTTTGTAATCCTTACCCTTAGCTTACTCTTTACTTAATTTCTTCTTTCTTTTTTTCGTTAGTAAATAAATGTAATTTTTTTAAGTTAATTTTCGTATTGAGTACAGATATTGCAGTATTTAATTTATACTATATTATATATAATATAAATATATTAATATAGTTTATTTATTACCTAGTTATTATTACAGTAATAAATTAGTGTTCTCATATGTTAACTTAGCAAAAAATCAAATAAAAATACATTTTTATATAGATGATGTAGGTACGTATTACCAATTCGTTATCATAAGTATTATCGAACGTCGTTCATAGGATGGAATGAAAAATTATAAATAATGAAGTAGGTAAATAAATAAAATAAGTCAATATACTTCAAATGTGTTGTACAACGTTTATTGATTCGATAAATATATAGTAAATACTAAATATTAATTGGGTCACTAAATTAATTTATCGGATTAATAAAAATTAAAAGGAGTTTCACAAAATTAATTAATTTTATTGGTACAATAAATTGTTTGTTACCACGCACTATTAGACAATATAACTAATAAACAGGATAAATTTCAAGTCAATAAGTGTTTATTAGTTCAACTAGTTTATCCTATGCAGTTATACACTTATACGAGTAGGAACCTGGAACATGTTAAAAACTTATGAGTGAAACGTATAAATAACTTATATTTTTATATTTGGTCTGTAACTCAAAATTTAACGCTACCAATGGGTAAATACTAAATTCGTAAAGATATACTATAATATACAACTATTACAACTTATAACAATACGTTTTACATAAAATAAAATAAATATTATAAATTATGCATATTGTGTATTAATATACTGCTACCTACTGATTTATTTTTCAATAAATAACATTTATATAATTATATAATCATAAATTAAAATCGGGAATCACTATTCACTACATCTCAAAAACTACAAATCTACAGAATTTGAAATTTGGAATAGTTGGTTCCTCTAATGATCCAGATGTGCAAGTTTTGTTTATAAATGATTGCCATTAGTTGCAGATTATAATATTAAATAGTAATAGCAGGTAGTATAAATTTGTATTATTTTAGATTCTGAGTGGAGCGAGGAAGCTAGTAGTTTTACAATGGTGTTTATTTTTATTTTATTTTTATTATTTTTTTATCCTTTATATAAAATTTCTACTAAAATGAGTGCTTCGATTTCAACATATAATATCTCATCTTTTAGTAAATTGGATCAAGAATTGGTCATTTTTTTCTCAATAGTTATTTAATGCCACGGGAAAAACCACTGACAAATTACGAAAAACCGCTAAAAACAGGATTTTAATTTTTAACGTTTTAACTATCACCATAGAAACGAATAAAAATAAAAATAAAAATACGATTTTATTAATTATTTTGTTGTAATTTATAATATCAATTCAACTTACAGGCTATAATAAATAATAACAATATACAATATCAAGACTGACAAACCGTCTCCACTCAGAATCGTTTTGCCTATACAATGATATTATATCATTGAATTCAAATTTAATACAATCAGTGACCCACTTGTAACTTACTGGCTATAGGTACTGTACAGCAGAGCGACATCCACTTTCCCGCTATTTTTTGTTTTTGTATACATATGGTTGCCATTTTTAATATTCAAAAACTATTCAATTGAATTTGACTAAAATCTCAGAGATAGTTTTTGGAGATGTCCGAAAGTTTATCAAAAGTCAAAAGTTTAGACTCTAAACTACATACACTCTAAACTTTAGAGTGTATGTAGTTTAAAACACGTTAAAAAATATACCAAGTGCTAAAACCAATCCGCGACTTCCGATTGTCCATCTAAGTCAAATAATTTCACAAAGTTAGGTACACTGACACCGATTTATCTATGAACTGAGGTCTGAGGAACATTAACGCCGAGATATACTTATATAGAGTAAATACCTACTATATGGCCTAAATTATACATATAGATAGAATTTGACACAAAAAACTGCACATTATTTATAAATTATAAATGGTGGTACAAAAAAGTAAAATACGGTACACCTACCTAGGGTACATATTTTATAGTTTATACTGGTGGATATATTCCAAACTTTTAAATTTGAACTCTTCAACTAATTAGTGATGAAGAATAAAAGATCTTTTAGATGAAAAAGCTGCCTTGGAAATAATTTGGCTTAAAACGATTTGAATGCTCTACCTAATCCAACCTACGAGTAGCTTAAGATTTTAGACAACTCATCAAGATGAAGTTAAAGGATTCCTTGTTACAAAATCGATTCTTTATCTTTAATAAATAATAACAAAGTGTATATTCATACTATTTTTACTGTATACGTAACTACGTAAGTAAATGTCTTGGTTCGTTTCTAACTTATCAACTAAATTTTTCCGTATACCAGATAAGAGCTGAGCTTAGTTGGTATACGGATCAGCTCTTAATATTATTATTGATATTATTGTATTATAATTGAATTACGCTGAAATAAATAAATAAATAAAATAAAAAATAATTAAAACTTTTGACTATAAGAAAATTAAATTTATAAATTTTAGTAATGATGTTTAGATTATGGAGGACAATTATTTTCAGGACCACCGTTAATGCTAAAATTAAACAGTAGGCTCAACATTTTAAATATTATGTGATAATGCTGGATTCTATTCGGCACCCGGCGTTGTTTTAAATTAATTTCTTTGAATGATTACATTACCGAGAGCTTTTACTTTGAACTATGGAAAGACTATCCACTTTTAATAATAAATGTTTCCATTGATATTTTACAATTATCGCTTTCGTATAATATGAAGACATTTTCATTTATAGTAATATTATGTTCACTTGTATGTAATAATATAATATAGAATCAACAAATCAAAACTGCCGAAGACCATTGACTCTGTTTTCCTTCATTACGGCCACAGCCAGAGATGGATCCCAAGTTACGGAAAAACGCCTGCAAGATGTTTCCGAAGTATTAAAAGACAATTTGACAAAAGGGACTGCGTTGAAATGCAAGGAGAAAAATGGTCAGTATACTATGTACTATTGTAGTATTATATAACTTATTATATATTAATATGTAATATGTAATGTGTATTTAATACTAATGTTTTTAATGTTGTATAAACATTTTGTTTTATTATCAGTTGTATATCCCATCATTCATTTTACCGAGGATCGAAATTCATTGATGTCGGTGCTACAAGATCAGAACGAAGTAAACGAGCATTTTAAATTACATCAAGGTGAGAGCTGTTGTTAACATAAAAATTAACGTTAATAAATTCTAAGATAAAAAAATATATAAATTATGTTACCTATATATTATTATTATAATATATATAATTAACAGAAATAGGTTTATACTATATATATATATAATAGGAAACTAAATTAACCACATCAAATTGGTTTAAGTGATTTGTCATTAATAAAATATAAACTTTTGGGTAGGTACCCACCTCTCCACCAATAAATTAACATAAACGATGTCAGTACTTATAGATTTATATTAGTTTAATCTATTTCATTAAACTGGTTTATTAGTGCATGAAATCATATTATATTTTGTTTACACCAATATAAACTATGTTATAATTCTACAGTGGTGTACTAAATATATAGGTACTTTAAACATGTTCATTATTTCAACATTAAATATAAACAAATTTTGAGAAAGTCAAACTAAATTACTACAACAGTTCACGTAAAGTTTTAATACATTAGGAAAATAATTAATCAAAGTTCAAATATGACCGATAAGACGATAGTTAAATCAAACATATTTATCTCTAAAATCAATTACGTGTATAATATATAGTAATGTGTGGTGAAAAGAAAATAAGTCAAAATAACTAGTTTTCAGGAAACCAAAAAACGTCTCATTTCTGAATTGATTTTTCATTTTTACAGATAATTTAAGATATTTTTTTTAAAAATTATTTATGTAATTTATAAAAATTTATTTTGGTATATAAACTACTTACAAAGGACAAATTTTTAATGTAATCGATAAATGATCAAATTTAATTTTTATTCGCTTTTACACGCGCAGCTTTCGCCATCGTATATTAATACTTGGTAATATTTATATAGATGTTATCTTGTTTAGACGAAGATTAATTTTTGAACTTTTGAGTCGTTTTATATCGCTAGTCACATTTAATGTTTATATAATGTTCAAATGCATGTAGTTTATTTCGTCTAACGTATTGTTGTATAGTTTATTTTATCTTAACAAACAAATATCTTTAAATCTCCGATGCAGACGAACGTATATTCACACATTCTCACGGTCTTGTCATTTTTATTCCATGTGCCGTTTGTACGATAAAAAAAAATGTAAATATAAACTCTCGAGGCAAGTCAATTATACAGCCTGCATATATTTATTTTTATTACACAAAGTGGGTACCCGCCACCATAACCTTATCTTAGAAGAGTTGTTTTTACATCGACGATTTTCACACAAAGTATATGTAGTTATAAAGCCTCACTGCGGCATTCTTTCGGTGGACGCGGGTTTCGGTGAATTACAATAATTATTACATTCGATAGAAATTATACTAATTAATATGACATTTATAATAATATGTATATTACAGGCGTTTATCGAGAAATCAAAAGTATCGAGTGTGAGGATGGAAACGGACCGTTCGTAACGACTTCAACTAGCATCTCATACATAGTATCCGGATTCAAACTTCTCGACACCAGTCTAGTGGAGGTAAACATTGCAATGCACATATTGTATTTAATAGTAGGTTGTAGGTAGATAGTTAATAATGAAATATGTAGAAAAACTGGACAATGACTATCGGAACACTATTTTATTGCGTAGGCACATCCATCATGTCTTATACATACATTAGCGCTTAAATTACTTAGATGATTTGTTCGAAAATCAATGCCAAATTGTATACAAAATACGTGTGGATTATTGCAGTCATCTGATATCCATTACGGTAGTCATTAAAACAGTATTATTTTTTTTTTTAAATAGGCGCACGGTTCTTTAACACCATGGACATCATTTTACAATAAAATTACAGTGATACCGTATGCGGTTTCGTTGCAGGCCCTATTATTTGTAAAATTTCGGACTGCACATTTCATTTTATTCTCGCTACCATCTTAGCAAAAGGAATGTATTACATAATACATATTACATATATAATATATATATATTATATACCATATGTATACAATAATTTAACAATGCAATTCAATAAAACAACAAAATACTTATCTTTTAATAAATAGCATAATATAATAATAAAAACCTTAACTTAACTTTTAATAATTAAAATCATAACAATGCATATTACTTTCTTGATTTTTCATCAAGTAAGTATAGTAATTGAAATGAAAAAAGTCTGAACTTTGAAAACTTCAAGAATTTGTGTTAAATAGGAAAATAATAAAAATGTAACTCTGTAATGATGAATAGGTGGGTAATTTAGCTAGCTTTAATATAAAATATTAATAAGAGAGATTTTATATCACACCCAAGCGGTATACCCAATTTGAATCGATAAAAACATTCGCGTGAACAGTCCCAAAATTTCTATTTTTTTAACTTTTATCCTAAACTATGATACCTAGCTAGAAATTTGGTTGATAACTCATTAAAAAGGGATTATCAGGTAGACACTAAATGTGGAATTAATTTTTTTTTTAAATTATTTAATTTTTCACAGATAAAAAAAAAAAGTTATTTTCTCTAGATTTTCATTTAGAGATGTAGATCTCCGAAACTGGAGAACGGATTTTGTTGTTTGGGGTCTTGTTAAATTCACATTTGCTAGGAGAATTGCAGTGAAGATTTTCAGAACTTTATCCAAAATCGTTAATTCATTACAAAGCTGTAAAGATGAAAAACATCAAAAAACGCCCAATAAAATTTGTTTTAATTTATTTTAATGTTCTGTAGTGAATTAACTATTAAAGATAAAGTTCTGAAAATCTTCACTGCACTTCTCCTAACCAATGTGAATCTAACAAGACCAAAATCAACGAAATCCGCTGTCCGGTTTCGGAGATCTATCTCACTAAATGAAAATGAAAATGATTTTTTGTGGGGCTGTTCACGCCGACATTTTTCCGGATTCATATTGCTTGGGTGTGATTAAATCAGTTAAAAAATTTCTAAAAATTCAAAATCAAGAAAGTTTACATGCCGATCCCTGACTTGGCAATTTTTGTTTTCTAGACCGTAGTGCACACACGTTCAAATCGTAGTGCACACTTGTATATTCGTAGTGCACATTGTGTGTCGTGGTGCACATAAAAATAGGACCTGTTTCGTTGTAACGTTATAGATAGAACAATTTGATTCATTATTTTTTTATTTTACAACAGGGGTGCAATTTGAGAGGGGGGCGACCAGGACAACTCTGGTTTTTTGCACTCATTTAATGGCCCTGAGACAAAATGTAATACTTCTCTAACACTTCGTTGTGGTATACGCTATCATGTCGACATGTCATTATTATAGCATTATACATTTTTATAAACAACATTTCATATCATTATTTATAACTAAGAAGCAACTATTTTTAAGCATTATATCCATGGTTCAATGCTAAGAAATGTTTATAAGACTTTTTAGTGTAACGACATGAAACATTATTTAAGGGGCCCGCAAAGGAGATATTTACGATGTTGTAAACAGACATGTGAATATTTGATTGCTTGAAAGTGAAAACTTTTTTATAACATTTTGTGCTATAGGTACGGTGATTATTCGGCAATTGGTAATTTGATAATTTGTTATACTGTAGGCCGTTGGGTTAGGTCTATTGAAGGTATTTTTACTAGTTTGCACAACAATTAACCAATTTCTATTTTATAATATTAAAATATATCATAGTATCTTACATATATATATATATATATATAAACATCTCTCATTAATCAAATTTTACATTAATTAATAATTATAGTTCATTATGATTGTATTGTATGTTTAGGTAATGATCGAATCATGGAAGGATTGGACAGGCGCTAGGCACATATATCTCCACATTCCGTACGACCTGGGTCTCCAGAGGATCTCGCTTTTAAAAAAAGTGGCTCCTAGTTCTTTGAACTCTTTTACCTACGTTGTACTCGCTGAGTGTCTGAATGTGAACACAGAAGAAAAAAAGGTAAATTAATTTAATTATCAACGTACAATAATCTGGAACGCATGAATTTATTTGAGATTTCTTAATTTCCAGATGTTACTGTTGGATTTTGTACAACGGATGAGAATAGAAAAATTTCTATCCGGTTACCTATCTGTTTACGAGCTTCATAAAACTTAATCAACGTCAAAACTATAATAATATTACTGCGCAAATATATGAAACGCTTATATTAAACACGTATGACCATGACGTATAACTTATTACCTAGTGTTAACTGTTAATTATTGTTTTAACTTAAGTTAATGTTATTTTTTATGTTTTTTGAAATGTTTGTTGATTTTTAATATACTTTTTTTACAATTATTGTAGTTTAATTATTATCTTTATTTAATCGTAACAATAATAAATTACTAAACAAATAAATAAACTGTTTTTATTTTAGAAACTCTAGTTTATTTATATATTCTTACCTGTATATTATAGTATCGTGACTATAATAACATTGTGAGCATTAGAAGGAACTCATAACGTATTTACTGTTTTGTTGTCGTAGTAACGTAGTACGGAGATCTAATGATAAAACATAGTATAATCTTATAGTGGCCAAGGGGTCTATTTATGAACGGGACCCATGTATGAACAACATTTAAATATATACAGGATTCGTATACGTATCCCGTTCATGGTTAAATCCTAGTTCATTTGGTATAAATTAATACGTGTTATTTAAATAACAATTTTTTTTCAATAATGGTAAGTACATAACTTTTTTTGTAAATACATTTTCATTTTTATTTAACCTTGTTTATTTTTAATTGATTAATTTTAAGGCACCAAAAAAGAAATCGAAAGGAAGCAAAGGCGGCCGTACGAGTGCCGGGATTGTGGATGGCGTTTCCATGGCTGAGATGTCCAGAGAACAGCTCGAAGGGTTCGCTGCTAGAATGAAGAAAGAGTTGGAACGTGAGAGAGAAGAAAGGAACTTTTTTCAACTTGAAAGAGATAAAGTGTTAACGTTTTGGGAAATCACGAGACATGAGTTGGAAGAAAACAGAGCGTCATTGAGGCGAGTAAAAAATTCAATAATAATAAAATATAAAATTATTAATTATATTTTGCTTATTACATGTTATACCTACAGAAACAAAGACAGAGAGATTGAAGATATAGAGGAAAAGCACCAGGAAGAAATCAAAGTTTACAAACAAAAGTTGAAACTTTTGATGTACGAACAGCATGTGCACCTATCAGAAGTACAAGTGAGTTGTTTTTGTTTCATGTTATTTTTCCTTTATATAGGTACTAAGGTAAAAAATAAATAGGCTGAAAATATGGTTTCGTTGAAAATTGCCAACGACGAACATATAAACGAAGAAGAAGAATTAGTTAAAGAGAACGACGCGCTCAAACAAGAAATCGTCGAGATAAATTTACGACACATAGAGGAAATCAACAATATTCGATTGGTACCTATAGTAAAAATACGTTAACCATATATTTAAATTATGTCTATTGACATAAAAAATTGAGTTTTGTGTCCGTTGCATAATATATGTATAGGAGCATGCCAAAGTTATGCGAGAACTGAAAGACAGATTCATTTCTGACTGTCAAGTGATCGAAGGCAAGTATCAGAAACGAATGGAAGGCTTGAGGAATCGAATGGACTTGAAGAACAAAGTGGAAGTGGCTGAGACTGAGGCGAGAAAGAACAAGCGCATAGCGGAAATCATAGAAGACCACAACAACGCTTTCAACAACTTGAAAGAACATTACAATGACATAACTGTCAACAATTTGACGTTAATCGGCAGTTTGAAGGTTCGATAGATTCGTGGTCGTGCACTTATAAAATATATCATATTATAAGTAATATTCTATAAAATAGACGACAAATATTAATGACTCTGGACTTGCAGGAAAAGTTATTAGAATTAAAAGAAGACCAGCAGAGAGCGGAAATGGACCTGAAAGAAGTGACCAAAGAAAACGAATCGTTAAGAGGACCTTTGAAAGAAGCACAAATTACCGTTGAAGAATTGACACAAAAAATGTGTAATTACTCAAAGGACAAACAACGATTAATGGTAAGCTTATACCTACTGTTTAAAGTGGTTTACTGAGTGGCTTGATATTGTCGAAATATAGGCGCTGTATATACAAGTATAGCCGTATAAGACATATAGGTACCTACACATTTTCTAACTATGTGTTAGATATAAATATATTATATAATATTACCTATTTAATTTCATTGATCATATTATACGTAGTAATATTGTGAGATATTATCACTAAAATATTATACAATAGTTGGGTCTTTGATTTTTCTATTAAATAAGTTATGAAGACAATTTAATTTGAGAACCAATATTAGTTACACAAAACCACTTGTCTGTAGTTGTACCATTAACGACTGTTATACTACTTACTTGTCAAGTAAAATCGTTTAAAAATCGGACAGGTTATACGGCAACGAGTCCTGCAGCTATATAGGTAGAATGTTCAAAATTAAAAATAAGTAATATTAAACATCAAATGGTGAACACAAAACATATTTAAATTTTAAAGTACAAATAGGAAGTTACATTATTATATTTCGTTATTGTATAATAATTATTACTAAAGTAAATATAATAAACCTTTATATTTTTAATAAATTCCAAAAACCCTACATTACCTAGTTAACTTTTTTTTTAGTTATAAAAAAATATATTACTTTGTGTTATTAAACTGACAAGATAACAATATATTATATTGGTTATTTGAATGTAAAATTAGGTATACAAATTTATAATTATAATTTTTATTCTACAGTTTAAAAAAATCAAATAAATTAACTATTTTTATGTATATTTGATAGGTAGGTATATGTTGACTGATTTTATTTCTTGCTCCTTACTGCAACATTACTCATATTGATGTTATATTTTAAGTGTTTAGTTTTAACCATGTTTAATACATAAAGGTACAGTGTATTTAAAAAAACTATGATTTTAATTCAATTTTTGATAAAACTAAATATTTTTAATCATTAATAATAATTTTACATCTATAATATAAAAAGGTGGGCAAGTGGGTGTGGCTCTGCTGTACAGTAGGTTACAAGTGGGTCACTGTATAATGGATGATATTAAATTTGAATTCAACGATATAATATCATTGTATAAAAAAAACGATTCTGAGGGGAGACGGTATGTCAGTCTAGGTATAAGACATATAATATACACATCTATGGTACTAAACCAAAATTTGACCTATAATAGGTACCTATAATAAATTCCAAAATAATCATATCACAATATCCATTAGGTACTTATAACGCGTTATACATCAACGAAAACCGTGATACTATCATAGATATATAATAGTACACTTTAGAAGTTTCAAGTACCTACAAATAATATTATTCAATCACAACAAAATAACTAAAATAGTTATTCTAGGTTTTTTTAATATGTAATTTCGTCCAAATTTGAATTTAAAATGTCTGTAAAAAATAACTGTGTTCATATATTTTTTAGATTTTTTGGTTACAGTATGAACTATTTATGAGAACTTTTGTTTTAAATTTGCAATCCTTAGCTATAAAAACTGAACATTTTATAATTTATTAATTACAATGATTGATAATTTTCGAGATTTTGATAAATGTTGTCAAAATTCGATCTTTAAATGCTTATAAAAAAAAACTGTGCCTATGTATTTTTAATATTTTTCAACTGATATTGTAACAATATATCAGGAGCTTTGTATTAAATTTTTACACTTTTTGGCCCAACAGATAAAACTTAATTGATATTTATAGAAAAAAAACTAAAGAAAATTGAAAGCGGTAAATGTCCGTAAATAGCTCAAAAAGAGTCAAAATATTTTCAAAATTGTATGGTGTATAGGAAATGCTAATTTAAACATTGAGTGAAATTTTCATGTATCTACAGTTATTCGTTTTTGAATTACAACAAATTAAGGAAATCGCTACATGAGAAATCGAGTGAATATCCAATGTTGAAAAAATTTGAATTTCAAACGCTCATTAAAATTTAATTTGACTTTCTTATAGACATTTTTTTTTTTGATAAAGGTAGATAATCTTATAAGGAATCTTGTATTACATTTTCAAATCTTAGATTTAAAAAGAAAAATTTTTACGAATTCTTAACTCAAAATAATTTGCTAATTTTCGTGATTTTTCCATATTTTGTCAATTTTTGAACTTTAAATGCTTATAAAAAAAAATTGTGACTAAGGATTTTTAATATTTTTCATCTGCCTTTGAAACAATATAGTAGGAGCCTTGTATTAAATTTTCAAGCTTTCGCAACCAACACATAAAATTTTATTGATATTTTTAGAAAAAAAACTAAAAAAAGATGGAAAATGAAAATGTCCTTAAACAGTTCAAAATAAATCAAAATATTTTGAAAACGTTATCGTGTATATAAAATGCAAATATAAACAACCAGTGAAAATTTCATGTATATACGTTCATTTCTTTTAGAGTTACACCAAAAACCAAAATCGATTTTTTGGAAAACCGATTTTGCGTAAAAATTCCCGTTTTTCCTTAATTTTTATGTTGTTTTTCCCGGCGCTTGTGAAAACTACTGGAGCTACTGTTGAAGAAAATCCAAGCACTTTTACTGTCCTAAAACGTGATGACAGACACAAAAAAAAATTAAAAATTAAAAAAAAAATAAAAAAACACACATCATTGTGAAATCAATACATTCATCGTTTCACTCAGAATCTAAAATGTATAGTAAATACTAAATACTATCATATAAATTAAATTTATATTTTACCAAACGTTTTTTTTTTCAAATTAAATTGATCGATTATAGATTTAATCTTACAGAAGTGCTATAATACAATACCTACTATTTAGTATTTACTTCATCTTTATTGTATAGTTAGGTATTAGTTATTAGTTTATTACCCGCTTATAGTAATATGTACCTAATGAATAATTAGATAGTAAGTAGTAGGTATTACTATATCATTGTTTTTTTAACAAATATAAACTATATAAATTTATGGACGATGTATGGTAAGTTATTAGACCACAAAGAATTTACATCAGCAGAATGATTGGTATGATAGAAATCAGTACTGAACAGATAGGGGAAACCTGGGTAAGTTGACAAATCTAAAGTTCAATGTATTATTAAAATATAATACCTTTATTTAAATCTGTAAATTGTACATAATAGAAAAAAAAATAGTCTTTAAATCTCAAAATAAAATAAAACAAATCATTTTTTTAAAACTCGCCTCAATGTTGGTTTTGGTATACCAAACTTTTTGGCATATTTATGACATGAAGGTTTTTCATTGGTGTTTCAGTCATTTATAAATTATAGCTAATCTAATTATTGCTTTGTCTCACAATGGTACATTTTTTCGTTTATAATTTCTTGGCATTGTATCTATGACCATAGGCACAATTTGGGGGGGGTGCTTCGTCAACTTGACCCGATAAATAATATTTTTGTACTTTTAAAATGCGTAATAGACATAAAGTATACATGAAAATAAAACTTACACTATACTCTGTTGATTTTAAATAATATATAATAGATTTCATTCACCTTTTTTTGAAAAAAACGTTATTTCAAAACACAGGAAATTAAAGTGTGTATGGTGATAACCACGGACTAAGATATAATGGACTGGAAATGCAAGGTTTATAGATTATAATCTATAAACATTGCTGGAACTGGAACCCAAGGTGGATAATATAGAGGTGTAAACACTGTGATTATAAATTGATTGAAAAATGTCCACCAGTTGTGATTGCCACCTGACTACCCGATGAGGGCTCATAAATTTAATGTTCGTACTTATATTATACGAAAATACGATTCACAATGCTTGCAAGTTGTAATTCCATAATAAAATAAAAATATAAGATATCAATTTAATTTAAATAATGAATAACTTAGATGGATTTTTATTAAATAATTTTGAAACATAAATCTATCTTCAATTATACAATTATTGATAATTATCCACATTTTTTTTGAGAATATTTATTTGTGGAGTAGATATAGTCATATAGACATGTTGCTTACCTATTTGTGTTATTATTAAAAATTTAAATTTATGGATTTATTTTAACGATTGTCATATTAACATGTATTAATTAAAGTACCTACCTAATTGTAAATTTGTTATAACAGTACCTATTTACATCATATTATCCTAGCGTGTACTCTTTTGGCTTTTGCAATATTGTTATTCATTTAAGTACCTACACAACCTACTCGTTTTGTACAAAGTTGGTATGAAGTTTATTTTTTTTTACTTATCGAGTATATTTTTGTGCCTGGGTGTAACTCTGGGTTACCCAAACAAAATAAAATATATAAACAGCAGGGAATAAAACTGCCTTCGGTATTTCATCCTCTTGAGGTAGTTATTTCTTATACTAATTAATAATTATTATATATTTATATTATTATGTATATGTATATTCAATGAAAAGTTCATATTAGGGTAAATAATTCATTAATTTTTAGACCATGATTGATACATGGAATTTAAAAATTATGTGAGCCGATAGATCATTAACAAAAAAAGATGGAGTATGTGAACTGCATTTTGTATCTGAAGATATTATTTCATTTAGAATTTTTGAGGATACAGCAGGAAATGAATTAAAACATCAGCTTAAGAGACTTATTTTAAACCCAAATGCTATACCTTGTATTTTCCCTAATTTACCTTCTTATTTCAACAAAAATATTAAAAAACGAAAACCTCCAACAGAAAGGTCAATAATGCCCTCAATAATACCAAATAATTGTAAGAAGAATAAACCCAGTGATATAAATGTAAGGTGGTATAATAATATTATGAAACAATAACACATTTCTTCATTAATTTAAATAATACCTATTTATTAAATGTCTATACAGCCTGTAAATGAAACAATTGTTAATCCTGGATTAGTAGTCACTGATATAACAGAAAATCATATAATTGAACCACTTAAGTATAATGTTCATACTGATGCAAATTATATTAAACTACCAGGTAAAATGTGGGGTTTGCATACAGATTACTCAGAAAAAACAGTGGAACAAGTGCACTTTACCACCCCATGCAAATTTTTCGATTTTTTTTTTGGAACTTAGGTAGCTCATCGAGTTAAGAACGATGGTGCAATCAGAATTTGTCGCTCTCACTTAGTTTCGAAGTTATGGCCTTCCCAAGTTTTCAATTTTACGTCTATACGCATGCGCGCAACACTACTCTATAATGCCGCGCGGAGGACTATTTTTGTTATTTTTTTGTACTTACGTATTCTAACCTGTTTAAAACGATAGTGCAATAATAATTTATCCCCCGATTTGCTATGCAACACCTCCCCAAGTGGGTCACAGGGTTAAGAAAATTGCATTTTTGTTGCACCGAGTCATCGGGCGGGGCCACTCGCTCGCTGCGCTCGCTCGGACAATTAAAAACGAAAATATCCCCCGATTTGCTATGCAACACCTCCCCAAGTGGGTAACAGGGTTAAGACAATTGCATTTTTGTTGCACCGAGCGGGGTCACTCGCTCGCTCGGACAATTAAAAACGAAAATATCCCCCGATTTGCAATGCAACACCTCCCCAAGTGGGTCACAGGGTTAAGAAAATTGCATTTTTCAAAATGAAAATTGAATTTTCACAATTAAAAATATTCCTCTCCTGGAAGTAGAAATAGTCAATCTGGTTTAAATAAATTCTCTTATTATACCTATATAGTAGCCAGTAGGTACCTACCTACCTGATAATAATTAATTATAATAATCATTCAATTATATAAATACGATTTTAGATTATATTATATTATTAAAGAAACTATATTTTAATACACAATTAAAATGTCATTACGTCAAGTGCTTCGTTCTTTTGAAAAAAAAAATCTCGAAAGACGTGACACGTAGCGTTGCGCTCAAAAAAACTCAAAATTGCTTACTTCCAAGGGCCATAACTTCGAAACTAAGTGAGAGCGACAAATTCTGATTGCACCATCGTTCTTAACTCGATGAGTTACATAAGTTCCAAAAAAATTTTAAAATATGCATGGGGTGGTAAAGTGCACTTTAGCCAAAACAGTTTTTACTCTTATCAGTGGCTTTCACAATGATAAATGTATTATGTTTATTACCCCAACATAGCTAAGGTAAGAGTTTTATAATTAAAAGAGTATATTCGTCACATTTTAATTTAATATTTATTGATGGTCATAAACGCATATTATAGGTTATTTATAATAGAGAAAGAAACTAAAATTGAAGAATATATTGAGAAACGTGATGATATTGAACATCTATTGAGTAAAATTAATTTGTTAAATATTTTTTCTGGTATTCGACTAATACAAATCAATATGGTCTTCAAAATGTATGTTATAAGTGGAAAGTAAATGTGTTAGATGTAATTACTGCAAAAATCTTAGTAAAAACATAAATAGAAAAAAAACATTACTTTTTCATTAGCATTTATTTGGCTGTTTACGTCAAGCATGTGGTTCAAATCAGAATCCAGATCCAAAACAAATCATCCAAGTTTATCGGTTATTATCAAGCTATTCACTAATAAAACCACAAAGAGGAAGCAATGTGAGTGGCGGAGAAATGTTGAATTCTCTTGTCAATATTCAAAATTCATCAAAATAAGATAACAGCATAAATTAAACTTAGAAAAAAAATTGGATGAAATATTAGACAATGGTGATTTTGAAATATTTAATTAGGTATAATTTATACGGTGAAGATCAAATTACATCTTATATAGACAAACCTGCTCTAACCTACTTTGTTGGTTATGTTTCTCAGAATTCCAAAAAACATTAATTAGCAAAAACTTGTTATGATTGTTTTAATTCTCTTATTTCAACATCAGATGATCATACTAATCTTGAAGTAGAAGTTCAAGAGTTTATAAATATGAGAAATAGGGGATATTTACTCAGTCTATCAGAATGTCTAATGAATATAATATACTGCTTGGTGACTGCTATTATAATGTCATTAATAGCAAAAGTATTAGTAGACATATTTTGGAACACGGTTAGCGTTTTTTAGTGTGCCTACTAATTTAATTCATGTTCTATATTTCAATTATTTGTATGTTCAATATGGATGAAGTAAACATTACCGGAGTCCCTTCCAAAGTTGGCTGTCTGGGACATCAGAATGAATTAACCAAATATATTATTAATTTCTATTTGAACACTAGAATGATATTTGCATGTAAAAGACATAATGATCAAAATATCATACAAGAAAATACTACAAAAATATTAAAAACAATATCAAAATTTATATAAATATAAACCACTATACTCTGTCCCAGGAGGGAGTGGTACTGGGCGGCGACCAAAACGCGTTCATTTCCGCGCATCCCCACCATTTTACCGGCCAGATCGCCACCAGTCGTAGAGCGCCGGTTTCGGCGGCAGTCTGTACCATAGACCGGCGGCCACATGGTGGGGGAAATTTGGCCTCGCGACGTCGTCGGAGCGAATTCATTTGGATGCGCGTGGCGGTACCACTCAGCACTCCCTTCCGGGACGGAGTGGCTACTGGTAAATGTTTTCCAATCTGGATATTAAAATATATGAATTAAAAGTACTATATTATACACATATTAATATATTATACATATTAAGTTACACTATTTAAAATTTAAAATATTAATTATTATATCATGAAGTCCATAATACTTGTAATTACTAAATTTACTTATTAATACCTAATTAGAATAAAATGCCAAATTGCATAATTTGCCATACAAACTTTAATGTGTTTGAGCCTCCATCGGGTAGTCAGCTCTCCTGGTGGCAGTTACAAGTGGTGTACTTTTTTCGGCCCACTATCATAATGTAAAAGATAGGGGAGAGTTTACACCACAGACCTTATACTAGGTCTATGGTTTACACCTCTATATAACCTCCATCTATGGTACAATCATTGTTGAATTATTTGTCCTTGTCCACACTCGCATGCGTACAATCATTGCACCACGGTGTAGGTAAAACACATACCTACATTACCTACATCCAATGGCGTAGCCAGAATTATGAAATGGGGGGTGTTTAAGTATAGATTAAAACCAAGTTCTTACAGTTTTCGTATATAAATAAATTTAGGGTTCGGGACTTGACTTGTTGCACTAAAAATTATCGAAATATGCTTAAATATATGCAGCTACATCTTAATATTATTTTTGAAAAATTCATAAAACCTAATACAATTTTTGTAATAAAAAACTAAAAAATAAGTAGGTATATAAACATGATAAAAATAATTTAATCACGGGTATACAAATTTTAATATAAGTTGGTACCTATAGGTACCTATATATTGATTAATATGATGGACGGAGGACACTGCTATTGCATGTTTTGGACATTTTTAAACTATTGTGAATTAAAATTTGATTTTTAAAAATACTGGAATAAAATACTAGGTTAATAAATAAGTAATATGTAGGTAACGAATAACGTGATATGCGAACCCCGTGATAAACGAACATGTATCTACTGATTTTCATTTCTTCGTACAATCCAGAATCTAGATGTCAATTATAGTTTTAACACAGTCTTGTCACAAAGAGACTTATAAAATCTAACGTACCATATGCGAAAATAGGGTCCATGATATCCTCCCAAACATTTACTAAAATTTTTTAAGCTTATTCAATTTTATAATAGTATGATTTTAGACTTCAGCTTCCCCAAATCTCAAAATTAGCTCCTATTGTACCTAAACAAACATAATATTTTTAAAGATATTTTTCAATGTTATCCAAATATGATTTTTCTTGACAATTGAATGTAAGTACCTACATTTAAGTTAAAAAAATTCAATATATTATACATAAATATAATCGCTAAAATGTACACTTTTCCTACGATATGCAAAAATATGCAAATTCAAACATCGTTTGATAAGACAAAAAAATTTCATAACACAAATTTATAACTTCTCTAAAATAACCTACTATCACTACAATAAAACATGCAAGGAGTCCCAACCCTATAAACAATACAAAATTTATTAGGGGGAAATGTCAATGGGGGGTGTTTAAATCTATTATAATTTGCACTATTATATGTTCGTGCATTGCACCAATCCTGTGTTTAGACGCTCCTCGGCGGTTAACCCGTTCATTGTTTCAATTAATTTGCCCATACTCTGTGCCTGTGACCAACTTGTCGTGGTATTTTAGGTTAATTTTCGTCCGTGTCATATTGTTTCTGTAGATTCTTACGAAGCGGTTGAAACATTCGATCGATAAGTACAAGGACCTCCAGGTGGATTACGACGAGCTGAAAATGATTTCGGAGAAAGTGAGATTTTCTGAGTTTGATATACCAAATAATATAATCAGCTATTTATGACTTAAACGTATAGTTATGAAACATCTTTTAGGTGCAAGCCGATTTAGACAATGCGAAGGAAGAGTTTTTGGAAAAAATAATGCATATGCAGATGGAGCAAGGGAAAAAGTTGTTAGCGATTGAACGTCAGCTGAAACGATCGAAAGAAAATATCGAGGAAAAAGATGCACAGATAGCCCGTCTGACCGGAGCCACGTCGGCTGACACTTCGATCGCGATGGCGATGAATGCAAAGACCGAGGTAAACCCCTATTGGTTATTACATTATATAAAATAACGCTGGATGGGGCTAATGAGAGATCGACCTAACTACCTAAATACTCCATAGTTGCAGGACGAAATGTAAAATTTCAAGTCAGATAATAATTATTATAATATATTAAAACAGGTAGATTTTATTTTAACAACATGAGCAGTAAAAAACATGAATTAAACATTTTAAAAACATCTAGGTATTGTAAATTGGTTTAGTAAGGTGTATTTTGAAATAGTGTTTACTTTAAAAAAAAAACGAGTGCTTGTAATTGTTATTGTTTTTTCAGTGTTTCACATCATTTATGATGACTGTGAATATTGTGATATATAAAATGTTAAATGTACATTTTTAATTGGTAGATAATAATTAATATGACAATATGACTGAGCATATGTTAAGGAAACTTTTACAAAATATAAAAAAGGTTGAATAAATTATATCAGGTTGAACACTGAGGTACTATTAAAAGAGATTCACGAGACAAGTGCAGATGATTAAATTTTTCCATTTATCAATCCTTCAATGAACCTAAACCACCTAAGCCTGCACTGTGTCTTCGCTATAATATTGACATAGGTACCTTATATGAAACTAGTGAATTATCAGTTATTTTTATTTTATTTATCTCCAGCTTTCTTACCGGTGCAGATGTTTTTACATACTTCAAATAGTAGAAACTTAACTTTAAGCACTCCATAGTTCAGTTATTACCTATATATAATGTATATTTTCTGTATTTTGAAAAAAATGCTATTTATATAAAGTTCCATGCGCCTTGATCTGCACACGTTATCATGACGTATTGAAAGATTTTATTTTATATTTTGTCAATTTTAATTTACAAACTATTACATTATTAATTTATTGCTTCTAAATCGCCCACATTCAGAAAATCGTCAGTATACCCATGTTTTTAATCACCTATTATCTTTTACTTTTCAGGTTTTGCTGGATAAGAAAAACCGACTGATCGAAAAGATATGGAACGACCTGGCTACTATGAAGGAGAAATACAATGAGCTGTGTAAAAATTTCAAAATCACACTCCGACATGCCGGGATAGGAGACTACGACGACAGCGTTTTAGAATTGGTACCCGCCGACGACAAACATGAATATTTCGCAAACCTCTGACGACCACAGACTAACAACAGCGATATTATAATAATATTATACATTTATACTTAATATATTTAATTATGATTTGCTATTATAGTTTTAAAATGATGTTATAACAGCATGTGGTCTTTAGTTTTTATGATTTTTTCACATATAAATATATTACCTTTATAATATTATAAAATTAAGTAGGTAAATATATCCGTCAACGGTTAATCTTACCAGTTACCGTCCTTACATCATCAGTTAGGCAAACCCATAGTCAGAGTGTCTGACTGTCAGAAGTAAGTAGAGAACGAGTTACCGTAATTTGCAATGACAGGCAGTAGTTTCTTGACAAAAGTAAGTGCCTACCTTTTTGTATGAATTCCAAATTCCAAATTACTTGAAATATAAATAAAATGAATAATCATATAATAATATAAAGCTCTTAGCTATTTTTGAAACAACTAACATAAAATATAAAATTCACACTGAGGTAGGTGGTGAGATGAATGCCAACTTTGGTGATTCAATTATTTAATTCAAAATTCAACTGTCTGTTTCTACAGATTCTAATCAAAAAGTATTTATTATTCAGTAGGTATACTAAAGTTTGTTAAAAGTTATTTGTAACTAGGTACCTAGTACCTACCATGATCAGTGCCACATTTAGACATTTTGTGCCCTGGTGCAAAAAACAAATGGCGCCCCCTAAGCCCCGGTGAAAACAAAATTGCTCCCCCTAAGGGGCCTACCCATGGAAAATAAGGGAGATAGATTCTCATAACCTTTTAGTATTTGAACACAGAAACGAATATTTGTTATACAATGTGTGCTTTTTTTAAAAATATTGTTTAGTAATTGCTTGATCCTCTCTCCGCCAAGATACATTTGACTTTGTCACTTAAACCTTGCTTATAATTCATCATATAAGTTGTTTTTTTTTAACATATTTGAGTAGGTTGTAGATACTTCATAAATAAATAAAATAAAATTATATAAAACTATGCAAATTAATATTAATTAAAAAAAATTCAAACAGCACAATACTATTATACTAAATTATATTATATAATACTGTTATTAAAATAATTAAAATAATACAATTTTAATAATTCACAAATTTCTGACCACAACATTTTGGAGCCCCTACAATACTGACGCCCGGGGGCAGTTGTACCCAGCCCCCCCCTAAATGCGGCCCTGACCATGGTCCATGACGTTTGATTGGTTGAATATAAAGATACCTACTTTCCAAACTCGACTAAGGACATTCTCGATAATACACTGTACTCTACAGACAACCTACCTTTGATTAGTTAAAATAATATAATACGTAAGTTGGTAAGAAACTTTGTATGTACCTAGTACTTACTAACATAATATTATTATGTTTAGTAATTTTTCTGTAGGTTTCATCAAAACGACCTTAGTGACTGACAAAAATTAAAGTACTCCTAGTGGTTTGATTTAAAAAATGTAAAAATGTTTTAATTGGTCAACAAGTCTACTTTGCATCGGTTGGTGCATATTTTTGAATATATTACAATACTAAAAATTTATAATATTTATTCTCGTCAAGAATTTTGCTAAAAAGTGCTCCTACCGATGCAAAGTAAACTTGTTTACCAACACAAACATCTTTAAATTTTTTAAATCGAACCACTAGAAGTACCTTAATTTATGTCAGTGCGACGGGTATTTCACTTCCATAAATTGGTTTTGAATATTTTGATCTAGACGTTAAATGACTTGTGCATGTGCGTGCGTGCGACCATAAACCAGACTAGTAATAACAATGTATTGTAAATTTATGTGGGTGATTTTAGGGTAGTATACACACGCTAATGATCATTTACTGCACACACAGACGATCAGTAATCAGAGGAACGAAATAATTGCCTAAACACAACTCCTTAAAAATGACACATTTGCAGGGGCCTTAACATGCGGATGATTCCAATGCTGCTTACCTATTATGGTTATAACTTATAATATCTTATTTGTCACTAATAAATAGTATGAGAGTTGTCTCGCCAGAGCACCAGTTGTCTATATGAATATTGTGCTTATACTCTGCCTATAACTGCCTATAACTTATATGAGTATAAATGTATAATAATTAAGGGGGCTGAAGCGTGAATTATTTTCGGTCTAAAACATAGTTCACGACTTCAATCACTACTCCCAATATAAAGTTTTGATATTAATTTTGAAAGCAGATTTGAATTCGTCACTAAATTATCTGTGCTTTGACAATTTCATTTTTCTGAATTTTATTTTATTTTCAATTAGAAATTTACTAACAAAAAGAGTAAAAATAGGTCATATTCATAATTCTAATTTAAATACATTCATATAGAATATGAAAAATGTACGACAGTCAAAGCATAATAAATTTAGAGGAAAATTCAAATCTGTTTTCAAAATTTAAACAGGAACATCCTACTGAGGGTAATGATTAAAGTCATTGGCAGTATTTTTTGAAAAAAAATGTTTCTAATTTTATAAAGTAATAAGTGGTGACATGTGCATGCTTGTAGGTAAAATGACAATCGTATAATTATGATGACCCTATACAACGTGATTGGTAATGCAAATTACACACACTAATGTTCATTTACTATCAACACATTCACAAGACCCATATGACCTAAAATATAAAATGCCTAGTTTTTACTCCTTATAATGGGTTACGCTCCAGCCCCCCCTCCCCTTAATAACATTATATGACTAGTAAGATTGTAAAGGGATTTTATGTAGGCAATTTTATAGTCAGCTTTTGAAAAATTTAATTTTTAAGAATAATAAATATTATGTATTGCAAAAACATAGGTGACACATTATAATATATACAATCAACATAAATTAAATTGCTGCACCCCTTAATAGACAAGCTTGTGCTTTGGGAGCGGTTCTTATCAATTACAATTTACATATAATAAAATAAAGTAATTTGGTAGTACATATTAGATTTAATTATTATAGATATAAACTTTTTCTTTCAACCAAAAATGGTGGTCTCAGAGTTTGTAGGAAATAAAATGTTGTCATTACATATTTATTTTACATTGATTTGAATATTTTAAGTTTATAATATTTCAATAGATTATGTTAATTTTAAAAGGAATTATGATTTGTTTATACATGTGTATAAATGTGTTATTAATGAAATCACTTTATCCCACGCCGACGTTTGGAGTAAGTTGTCAAGTTTATGTTTGTGAGAAAGCCATCTTACTGTCAAAAATGATATAGATTATAGAACATGTTTTTTCATTAGAATTTTTATCTCTATCGTACTAAATGCCTTGTAAGAAACCCGTCAATTAATGTAAATTCCTGGTTGTTTGCAAATGTCTGAAAATTAACACAATATAATATTTTTATATCAATAGGTATACCTATATTGTAACAGATATATTTTTTTTAATATATCTTAATTTTTATACTTGAAAGTGAACATTAAATAACTAAACAAAACATAATGGATTATATAGAGTTTCTGTCATTGCAGTGTTTATTAAAAAATAAAATTGGTTTTTTTAATGTAACTATAACATTTTAAAATATTTCTTTAATAATTATTTTAACATCTTAAAAACAATATTAAACTTAATTGTCTAATATAAGTACATTAAAATATATTTACAGTAATTAATAATTAAAACATACTTATACGCGTTATACCACAAAATATATATAAATCATAATCATATATCTAAATATATATATTATAAAACATAATATTATATATTATAAACACAACATAATTTGTTAAAAAGCTATAAAAATGGTTACATATAGTTTTTTGATAGCCTTTTTCTTGCGAATAATTTACAATAATAAACTATTCTATTTAAAAAATATCAATGTTCAAACATTTATAAATTGTTTGTATAATTATTTACTTATACCTAACAAACAGGTTGCTGTATGCAATAACAAATAACAATAAAACAAAAGTTAAAACGTTAAAAAATAAAATAAAAAAATAGTAGAGATTGTAATAATATTGTTTGTTTAAATACAACATTACTAGTTATACAATTCCAGACCATAGGTCATCAAGCACAGACTTCTTTTTTGGTAGTTGGTGTTCACCGGGTTGGTTTATTGAAGGTTGCAACTGAGGTGATGGAGAAACTGTCAATGGCTGTTGCAACCACGGGGGTGAACTGTTAGGTGAATCTATTTGAGTGTCGGTATAGTACCTGGGATCGACTGATACATCCATATCTGTAGATACTGGCAAAATAGGAGAAACTCTCAGGGAAACTGGTGTTGTAGGAGACACTGGTATTGAAGTGGGCAGTGGGGTCTCCTCAGGATCTACTACTACATTACCAGAAATATTGTCACAGTTTAATTTGTTAATTTCCTCCAACTCAGGCCACTGAACACTGCTATTGACATGTCGTTGAGCGACATTCTCGTCTTCGGACGAGGAGGAACAGAATTTTTTCATGTCACTATGAGTTGTAGAACGTCTGATTTTTTTGATTGGCCCGGGTCGACCACGACAGGTGCCACGTCCACGTCGTTGTCGAACTATCACTTTTTTCTGTTCAACGGCAATGGCATCCGGCCGTGGAACGTCCCGTTCTAGCTTCAAATCAGCCAACTCCTGTTGTAAGTCCAATATCCGCCGCTTCTTTGCGTTCAAAACTTCTACAAATTGTGCCATCATCCGATGGTTCACTAGCCGCTGGCTGTCGGCCATCAATCGTAATTCCTCTAGCAGCCGGCGGTTGTCTTCCAACTGGCATCGCTCGCGGTCCGCGGCAGCTAGGTCTGACAGTTTTTGTTGCTTCCTTTCAGCGGACAACAAGCTTATCAGTGGAGTGATGAACGATGTGCACGTCAGTGACACCGTCGATTTTACCTTCGGCGTCACCTCTGTCATCTGAACCATGCCAAGCGTCGCCAAGCCGAAGGGACGGAGTTTCATCTTCCACGCCAACGTCAGCAGTCGGTCGTTGTCGTCGTCTTCCCGTCGCAAATGGTATTCGTACTCCGTTGTCGGCTTGCCACCACTGCCGACTAGCGCCGCTCGTGCGCTCCGTAACCACACGCGAACGGCTGCCGATTTGTCGTCGTCGTCGAAGTCATGGCGGACCCCCGAATTTAAGGTCTGGTCAGCCGCTTTGTTTCCGATCACAAATCCCCCGTACACTACACAGTCACCAACAATGTCGTCCACGATCGCAGCTACCTGCATCGCCATCCGTGCCTGATCGTCAGCCGCTTCGTCGCAAAATGCCACTTTCAAATGCACCGTAATGGTGGGCGAGTCGGTTAACGACCACTGGCCTTTTAACGTCGAGAATTCGTAACTGGGTTCTGGGAAGTCGACTTCCATCGCCGCAAGATAGTTTTAAATCTCTCAGATTTCCGAAGTGCGTACGTTTTCAATTTTGTAACACGATTAAATCTATAAATCTATATAGAATTATGAACTAAGTTTTGATGTTTTGAACCCTTCCAATGACTTAAACCGTGTAATGTGTATTGTACATTTGTACGCCGACCGGCGGGCGGCGACTACGTTGACTGTTGACCATGATTTAAGAATTAAGATAATACCTTATTTATCTACCAGACAGTAAATAAAAACGGTTTATATCACTAGAAAAAAAACGGTTTATATCACTTTCATGGATGAAAATATCATATCAGTTTGGCTTGGAATAAACAACAATTAACATTATCGCAGGCCGCTGAATTTAAAAATATTTAAATTTTTAACATCATATTATTATAATACATATAATATATATACAAATACAATTTCACAACTGACCATTGCCGTACCTGTGGGGAGGGTGGGGGGTAGTTACCTCCCCCACCGAAATGTTTTCAACATATCTTATTTTTAACCAAATATCAAAACAAAATTATAAATTTAAATAAAAATTTAATTTATAAATATAAATTCAATAAAATTACAATGTACATGTTTTGGACCCACCTCTGAAAAAAATTTCTGGATATGGCCTTGCAACTGAATATAATATAATGACATAAATTTCCAATCATATTGTGTACTATTTTACTTAGTACATTTATTAGGCAGTGGTAATGTGGTATTTAGATTGTGTCGATTATGATTTATGAGTCTTAACATAGTAACTGGTAAGACAAAAAGTAATAACATATTAAACTATATACTTATGTATTATTTATGTGTTTAGGTAGTTTCAGGTAAGCCGTAAACATTATATAAGATTGTTAATTTATTATTCATTATTATTCTCCTAGACTCTACGCCATACATGTCAACTTATTGAACTTAAATAAACAATCTTACATATAACGATTCACTATTTGAATAATTAAATATGGAAATAAATCATTATACGTTATTGTTTATGTTCAATGTCATTAAAATTGAAATATTTATCTCGTATAAATATTACTGAAGTTATATTGCTAAATTCAAAACAAATTACTACCAATCATACCAATATAATAAATGCATATTTAATATACACATACAATTAATAGTACTTTATGATAGACAACTCTGACTATATTATGTACTAATGAACTGTATAACACTATCGGTTTATGTTCTTCACAGCCGAATGGCGCTTTAAAGACATTTTTCTTTTTTCATTGAAGTATTAAAAATTAATCATGCCTCTCTTGGTTTTAAAGTAATGTATTATTCTTTTAAATGGTTTTTAAATCTTAATATTATTTTCTATATTGGGTTTTTTTTTTATTTTGTAGGATATACCATACTGCCATTGTCCAACTGTGAAGAAGTAGGTAGCCAATTTTAATAGTGAAGATCTTCAAAGACCAGGATGTGTAGATGTGTATTGGAAAATGGCAAAATATACATAGTTCAGACTTCAGAAATTTAGTTAGAGATGATTTATGGAAATTGGATTCATTAATCTTTGGACATTCAAAGTAAATTTATGATAAACATTAGTAAAACCCTATTAAATGCATTTTTTTAATTTTGTAGACTATACCATACTACCATTGTCCGACTGTGAAGAAGTAAGGTAGCCAATTTTAGTAGTGCAGATCTTCGAAGACCAGGATGTGTAGATGTGAATTGAAAAGTGGCAACATATACCTAGTTCAGACTTCAAAAATTTAGTTAGACATGACTTATGAAAATTGAATTCATTAATTTTTGGTCATTCAAAGTAGCTTTATGATAAACATTAGTGAAACCCTAATAAATGTATTATCTATCTAATAATTGTATTAAATATAATTAAATAAGATTTTATATTTAACTTATGATTAATACAGCAAATAACTAAATTACTAATTGGTACAATTTGAATATTCCAATTCAAAATTGTTCAAAGAACTTTATATTTACATTTTTTTAAAACAAATAATAATTTGATAATAATAATAATAATAATGACACAGTTTAACACTTAAACCATAATAAGGATCAGTGGTGTTCCACAGATTCTGAATTTTTTTTAAACTTATTCATTACTTTTATCATTTTTAATGACAAATATGTATGTAAACTATTTTATGCTGTTTATGCATTGTTTAATATATTATAAAATGTAAAAACCTATATAAATACTGTTTTATTTTACGGCTGTGTTACGCAAAAATTTTATAAAATATTAAGTGTTCAGACATTCAAAAAGGTTATGAATATATTATACATAAAATGTTATATGCATTATTATTTATATTATTGGTACTAGAATATTATTACTTTTTTGAGATGTTGATCAAGGTTAGTGTAAAAATATAAATTACAAAAATAATTTTGACACCCACCCATGGTGGTTTTACATAACAAGTCGATGGATGTTTTTGATTATAATTGTCTGATCGCAGCCAGGTACGTCGGGTATATATATGAAAATACCCAAAATTTAAAATACCTATAACTTTCAAATAAGTCTGACCACCAAATTCAGACTTCAATGTCATTTTCAATTAAAAACTTATGATTTCCGGCAATTAATTTTTGCAATATCGTTCTTAATTCGTTGTAACTTGTACTATCGCGATGGAGTGTTGTCCGACGATTTAATTTAATGGTTAAAACCGGTTTCTTTTTGGGCGTAGATGACTATCACTGGAAGTAAAAAGAGTGTTTCAATTTGCCGTTCTTCGTGGTAATTCACTTTGATCGGGAACAAGAAAATAATGTTAAAATTCATAGACGCGCCAGCTAATTCTGAAATTGTTAGTATTTAGGTTTTAGAACTAAATTTTACTTTTGAAATTAAATATACCAGTAAATTGTGCACGACAACATTTTTAGAAAAATTAAATAGTAAGTATATGAAGTCACATGTAAGCCATGGTTATGTTAGAATAAGTGGAATGGACTGACAAAGAAATATTATTTTATTGATCTTTAATGACTATGTAATGATTTTACAGCTAACAACAACTTCTTAGCACTCGCCAACTTAGCCTCACTGCGATAATTGGTCGCTCATCTGTAGTGGATAAGCCTATATCTACCCCACCTCGCTGTCTGCAGATCAAGACCTATAAATTTGTCAATTCGAAAGAGGTGTTTACTATATATTATTTGCTGTATAAAATAACACGGTCTACATTTTATACTGGCAACTATAGATGCCTGTAAACAAAATTAAAGACTTTTTTTCCATTTTAAACCGACGACACGACTCCGTGGGATCTCCTTATGCATTAATTCCGCAGTTTTAGCTATAACTACCCGCAAACATTTATTTATATATCTAACTATATAAATACACAGACTATAACTATACAGACTAAAATCTGAAACTACTTATCATATATTATTGTATATATTATAAAAAATAATAATAGATACAAATCAACAATCATGACCGATTAACCGATAGCAACCAATATAATATAATACACAGGTAGATTTTCCTAAAACGTTCATTCATATAAATCTTCTCCATGAAATACTCTTTCGTTTTAAAAAAAAATCAAGAAGATCTAATAAGTAGTTCCAGAGTTAAGCCTGTACAGAGATTTTCATTTAAATCTAAAAATCTTAGTTGTTAAGTCGTTGCAAGTATGTGACACAATCACAAACAACAATGAACTCTGTTGTAGCTAAATTGCCTATACAATGCGCCGTGTTAACATAATTTTGTATTTAATATATTTTCAAATATATTAAAACTATATTATTATAATATTATAATTTATGATTTACAGGAAAAATGATCAAAATGGCAAAAATAAAGAACAGTAACGACTTATCCGTGCTGAGTGTGCTGAGCCTAAATCAGGTAAACATATTTTAGATAACAAAAAAAAAAAAATGTAGAAAATTATACAATAGGAACACATATTGAATTGTTCAAACACTATGTCCAGAATCTTAAAGAGAAAAACAACAGACGTTGATAACCTAATTAAAGAATGATAATACAGAGGGCACCCGCAGGTAATCAAAAATCAAGTTTGTTCAAAAAATTCAACTAGAGTCAAATTCTTAAAAAAAAAATTGAAGGGGAGTGTTGGCGCCCGTAGGCAAATGCATTTTACAAAACCAAAAAAAAATTTAGAAAAAATTAAAAAGTAGGAAACACATTAAAGAGTTCAAACTAAAACGACCAGAATCTTAAACAGAAAAACAACTGACGAAGATAAGCTCATTAAAGAATGATAACACAGATTGAACCTGCAGGTAATCAATAAACAAGTCTGTGCAAAAAATTCAACTAGAGTCAAATTCTAAAAAAAAAAATTGAAGGGGAGTGGTGGCGCCCGCAGGCAATTGCATTTTAGAAAACCAAAAAAAAATTTAGAAAAAATTTTACAATCAGAACACATATCAATGAGTTCAAACTACAATCTTCAAATTCATAAACAGAAAAAACAATCCACAATGATTAAAAAGCTCCTTTAAGAATTTCAATACAGAGGGCACCTGCAGGTTATCAAAATTCAACTCGAATCAAATTCTAAAAAAAAAATTGAAGGGGAGTGTTGGCGCCCGTAGGCAAATGCATTTTACAAAACCAAAAAAAAATTTAGAAAAAATTATAAAGTAGGAAACACATTAATGAGTTCAAACTACAATCTTCTGATTCATAAACAGAAAAAAAACTGAAGAAGATAAGCTCATTAAAGAATGATAATACAAAGGGCACCTGAAGGTAATCAATAAACAAGTCTGTGCAAAAAATTCTACTAGAGTCAAATTCCTAAAAAAAAAAAATGAAGGGGAGTGTTGGCGCCCGCAGGCAAATGCATTTTAGAAAACCAAAAAAAAAAATTAGAAAAAATTATACAGTAGGCAAACACTATAAAGAGTTCAAAATAAAATGTCCAGAATCTTAAACAGAAAAAACAATACTGCCAATGATTAGCTCATTAAAGAATGATGATACAGAGGGCACC